CGTTAAAACGTCGCCGCAGCATTATTTAATACAGCGCCGTGCGCAGCCGAAGGGAAGACTCAGATATACGTTGTCGGCGCGGGGCCGCCAGTTCGAGTTCACCGTCAATTGCATGAAGCGACTGCGTGGGCGAGTTAGGCCATGTGATACTACTGGCAAGTGCTGACAAAATCAGGTCACATGGTCATGCTGATTCTTTCTTCGGTCTGTGAGGTTATATGCTGCTCGCATTATTCGATGTACAGTAATTTAAACAACTACTGCACATCGTGCGCGTATATTGACAGACGTGGCTTGTTACAGTCCGCATAGAAGGTATATTGATATGTAAACTAGTGTAAAACTGGGTGAGTTCGCTCATATTGGAAAAAAAGAAAGCGCAGCTGAGGAGGCAATAGAGCCCATAGAAGTATTACGTAAGACAGGCGGTAAACAAACGAAATACTATCTGAAGAATACAAAAAAGGTAGCGTTCGCGCATGCATAGTGCTTTTTAGCATCTCTCTCTAGCAGCTGAATGCGCAACCCAACAAATAAAACATATATGAAGACTGAACTTTGTCCTTTTTCCCTGCATTTCTCTTCTATCTGCCAACGTGTTTGAGAGTTTAACCTCCTCGACAGGACCTAAAAATCTGCATACAAGGGGTGCATGCAGCCCGACCATACTAACATTTGCGATTGCTGTAAAACATATTCCAATTGGAGACTTGCAGTTGTTAGTCCAGCATGTGTCCAATGAAATTTTCTACCTATGTTCTCGTCCATGCCTTTATTCTTTTAATAGGTGTGTTAAAATACAATCAATAAAAATGAGTAAGCATAGCTTGCTCCATAAAGAATAACGCATCTCAAGCTACTTGGTTATTATTATAAGGTACGAACAGCTCGCATTTCACAAGGACAGAGGTTGGGGTAGTGCGATAATGTGCATAATGTTTCTCCTCTGTGTTCTGGTGAGGTCCATACCGTTTGTGTCCAGTGTTACATGAAGTTCCTTCTTTGCACATATGATTGTCCCCATTGTTTAAGCAGAATACATCTCTCTTAGAATAATGTTTTACACTTACATACCGGCTCTAGGCCACTCAACATCCATCACACCTCGGTCTTCCCTGGCATGAATACATAAGAATGACTGCGCCTGGGAAGGCAGCATTGAGTACACACGTATAATTGGGATGTTCATGGCATGACATGTTTATGCATATGCCATCATAATAGCATGCAATATGTCGAGCGAACAAAAGGGCCTGGTATTCATTAGGAAACCCCATTCCATAATGCCACATTATTGATAAACACCAAAGTTCAAGTACAGTTGATTCTATGCGAAAACTGAATGAAGGGCACAAAACATAACATTTATTCAACATTTCATGAAAATGCAGGACTGCCTCAATCATACATGATAATTATGCAGTGTACACAATAAATGACATGAAATATGTGTTAACGGTGACTTGTTGCTATACGTGCACATCACAATGACAAGAGTAAAGAAAAGCGATGGCATTCGTGGTGCACTCACAACTAGCGACAAGTGGACGCAATTTGTGCCAAACACCTTTATCAATATTAACACTCCACATGTGGAATTCAGCGACTGAAATGAAGTACACATATTCAACTTTTGAAAGCACAGGAATAGGAAGTAGACATGGAAAGCCCCTACTGGGGATATGCAAAACATATTATGCAGATATGTAGGCATGAAACAGGACATACACGTAAAAGACATAATAAAACAGATGTAATAGGCACAGCAAAACCACGGACCTAATCATAGACTAGTGAGGGTAACAACAGCTCTATCTGAAGAGAAGAAGAGCGAAATTAGCCACTAAAATAGAGGCCAACCCAGATGTAGTTGGAATAAAAACACACGAGCTTATAATTGCCCTCAACAACAAGTGCAAAGCTGTAAAATCATAGGGCAACAATAGCTTCAGCCTCAAGACAACAAGAGGAAAATCAGCCACAGGCCAACCTAGCAGAAGTCAAAATAAAAATACACGAGCTTAGAATTGCGTTTGGCAAGAAATGCAAAGCAAAGAGAGGAAAAACGAGAAAACAGACACAGAGGCAATGAACAAAACCATTACTACACTGACATCTGAAGCAGAAATTTAAGGCGGTAAACCACCAAGGCAGAAAGTAAGCGAAATTTCCCGAGTGACGAGAAACATAATGAAAAACAGGGACACTTGACACAGAATATTAAAAATAGGCTTAGCTAAGTTAACAAAGCTTCTCATCAAGAACTCTAGTCACACAGAATTACAACGTAAATGAGATCGAGACACCACCCAAGCTACTTAAAGGGAACTGCTTATAAAGGACCAAAATGTACACACTGAAACAAACAGGGCAAACGTGTTAGAAATTTCAATGACATTATGACGGCAACTGAAAACATCTGCTCTGAACTGTACGGATCAAAGATAAGTAATTACTGTTGAAATGAAATCACAATAGGACAAAACACTGCAGTTCCTCATGTACGGTACTTGGGGATTCAAACGCAACATCAATTTTTTGGGGATAACTGGTATGCACACCTGCTCGAAATAACCACGTCATGTCGTGATAAATATAGTCTCTAAGAATAATTTTGGCTCTGATATACACGTTCTAGTCGAAATTACGCCAATATGACCCGAACTTAACGCAGTGTCAACAAAAGTATGTGCGTTACTGAGACCATAATTCCTGCATTTCAATCCGTGAGTACTGTACCTACAGACTAGGTTAAGAGGCCATACCACATATGCATCATAGAAAAACGGAAGGAAAACACGAAAGAAATGAGGCATACACACTATTTTACATTGGTTGTAGCAGCCTGCTTTCCAATGCTACGACTACCAGTTTTTGCATCTTTAGCTTCATCAGCTGCCAAACGCATATTCTCTTTCCGCAGAAGAATGTTAATTCTGGTTTTAAAAAATGCTCTCAGCAACCTCTCCTGAATGTTGTGGCAAGGTGGAAAACAATTGACAGCTTGCACACTGTCATTAGTGGTGGCCACAAGTTGACCAATCGTAACTTCATTGCACAGAAGCTTGTTGCTATTCACTCTAAACATATTCTCAGCTGTTTCGAGCAAATGAAGTACTGCTGGCCCTGGTGATACGAGCTTGCTGTCATCAGTGTAGGATTTTAACTTTGTGAGCACACTAGCTTCGTTCGACACTGTGGCAGTTTTGCACTGCTCACAAATCCCTGTGTGCTTTGCAACACTCTTTACCACAAACCCAGCAAGGTAAATAAAAGACTCATGCTCCATCATGCTTATGTCGAGAAGATCACTGGGATATTCAACAGCTTCTGTATCATTGCTGTTAGGAGCTCTTGCGTGGCAATTTTCGATGCCAACTAGGGAAGGAGCATCGTCGATAGCATAGCTTCCACTTCTACTGGGCCGAAAGAACTGTGCCAAAGTAGCAGCTCGAATAGCACTACGAAATTGAAGAGCTTTTGGTACTGCATTCTTCGCCCTCAGAGTGGAGAACAAATTCTCAAGAGCATCTTGGGCAAATCGGCTGAGCAAAACAAAAAAGAAGCCCTTCTCATTAAGATAATAATGCTGCAGTTCCAATGCAACTTTACACACCAAAATTATGCCCGTCTGCACAGGCTTCCACACGTGTTTCGATGGAGAGCCTATCTTCAGATCTGTAAAAAGAGTTACCATATCCTTTAAAAAAATCAGTGAGTCCTCATATTTCTGATCATTTAACTTGCTGATGCCAAGCTTCGTTGTACGTGATGTCAGTACTTTGAACCACCTATAAATGGTTTCTATGAACCATGCTGTTGTCAACGCTTCTTGGGGCAAATCTCCCCTTTGGACCAGGAAACGTAGTGCAGCTGCAGTATCGTGATTTAGCAACGAAAATGCAGGCCCCACTTTCATTTTCTCATAGTGTCCTGGGTCCAAGAAGGATGGTTTCAAGTGCGGTGCTATGTTTAATTGCAGTTCAGAGTCTATTTCTACCAGCTTCTGAATCGGCACAAGGTTAACCTCATTCGAAGGCAGCTTGTGCTTTTCGACCACATTTTCGGGAAGGAAAATCGATTGACCACGTGTGAGGTGGTCCTTCAAGTTCTTTAGCAAATGTGCGGTGTCTGCCATAAAATAAAGCTTGCGATTTTGGTTAACTGCATGACAACAAGAAACTCTTGACGCAAAACGCTTTCCCACAACTATGCCAAATTCTCTCCAGAGCGCCATATTCCCACCACCCATGTCGCTAACGACTGCATCTATACGAACCCGGATTGTTCCACATTCCTGAATAATTTCAATCAACTGTTCTTTCCCTGCAGCACTGCTGAACGAGTTTCCAGTAAGATGATAAGCAACTGTTTGCTTCCATCTTTGTGTAACCCCACCCAGCATGAAAACAACTCCATGTGTTGCCACTGCAGCATGTGGCAGAGAACCGTCGGCCAAAGGTAAAGTTGGCCTTCCAATAACAGTGCCAGTCGTTTGGTTAAACGCAAGCCCTGAGCTCAACTGAATTTCATCGAGCATCAGAACTGCATGCCTCTCATGCTCCTTCATGGTGGTTATCTGAAATATGCAACATGCATTAGGCAACAAAGGCATTAATAAAGACATTTAAAATACAATGCTTTTCAAGAATAAACAGGCAGTGCACAGTGCAAGCTCTATTTTGATGTTTGCATGCAAGAATATTATCACCTATTGAAATTTATGTGGAATTGTGCCTAGTTAGAGGACCTGAAGTCATAAGTGAAGGAAAGGTGAGAATATGTTGTGGAAACTTTATGAATGGCCGCTAAAACGTGCACGACAAAGAGCGCAGTGACAGGCACTAACACTGGCACTAGCAACACATGAAAGCTTAATAAATATTAGGGTTTACGTGCGAAAACCATGATACGATCATGAGACATGCCATAGTGGAAGGCTCTGGAAAAGGTTTCACCTTTTGCTCAAGGTGTACTGCTGAAAGAGATGCTCACGAGAATAAATGTAACAAATATATTCAGCTACACCATCCTTTCACCTTTAAAGCAAGGGACTTCAGAACCTCATGTAGAATTCCTGGTGAGAACTTGTAGTTTTCAACACGACGTTGTAAAGTTCTTTCACTCGGAAGGGGTACAGCAAGCTCCCTGACCGCATTGTAGCCTCTGGATCCACATGCCAAACGGAGCTTGAGGCCTTTCTGTATAGTCTCTGTAGACCATTGCTTCCCTCGCATACTGGAAGTCCACATGCCTTGCAGTTGATCTGGTGACAGGTACTTCTTGATGTTTCGCGTGAGTTCATGGTTTCTACGGTTTGCTCTGCTTTTCTGTTGTTGCAGTGTAGCAACTTTCCGCTTCATGTTGTTCAAGCACTCTTCCAATGTAGCTATTCTTTTGTGAAGGGCAGCTACTACTGCTTGATCAGCATCCCAACTACTTGAACTGGAGCCTGCAAAGCACAGATTGAGCAGGAAGTGACAAGAGTTTGAAAATTTCACTATTTAACCCAGACTAGCATGTGAGGGAGAACCATAAGGATTTAAAGAAACAAAAAAATCAGTGCCACTCCATATTATTCAGCAGAAAAGTGTAAGCGTAACTTTTTGAGAACACAACAGTGGTTTTAACAAACAGCATAAGCTGACACTGTTGCTCAATGAAGAGGGACAAATGGAGCTGCGCAGAACCCGCAATGCATGCAGCTGAACTATTTTTTTGGTGGGGGCGTGTCCTTGATCCGAAATAGGGGCAGGACAGTCAAGTGTGGTCACGTCTCACTTTGTACTCTGCGTGTGAAGGCAGAAAGACATTTTGGGAGCAGCAAGTGTCCGGTGTACCACCTCCTAGCTATGCCAATAGTTAGTAATGAGTAAAGACATGAATATATGGCACGTACTCTCGGTTATGACGTAGGGTTATCAATGGCGGTGGCTATTTCAAACAAAGTGGGGAGAGTGCCATGGTTCCACTGTTGTAGCTTTTTTTGACAGAGTTGCTACAAGACGGCAGCTGATTGCGTGTCACAAGTGATAGTGTGATGATGTTGCGCAGTGTGTAGCAGTGTGCTATGCATTACTGTACACAAAACACAGCTTACATGTTCCTCCAATAAACTTACGTTGTGTGCGACTACTCTCGCTTTACAAGAATGAGCATACCAGCAAAAGAAACAAAACAGGGCACCAGTACTTGGAGCGCATCCGCACTATTAAATGCACCAATATATCAATCTGTTATGAGCGTGCACGTAATTTCCTGTAGGCGGCGATGTGTCACACTCAAGTGTATATTGCATAGTGTGTGAGAACAGTAGCACTGAACACTTACCGGTGACATCAGCTGTGCCCTCAGCAGACAGAAATCCTCCACAGGCAGCACAAAAGTTCTGCTGAGCTGTAAATGACGGATAATCTTATTAGTAGTACTGAAGACCGGTACAGTCACCAAAGCTTTAAATTAGCACAGTTGCAGCACAGGCAATGAGGGATGGCCAGTGACTAAAATTAAAAAATGTATATGATACTGAACAGAAATTTCACTCACACTCAACAGGCACCGTCAAAGCTTGAAATGGCTGGCAGCTCGATTCATGGGTGGTTTCCACACCTGCGCACATATGATAGTTGGAACCAACAAAACCATCTGGCAGACACATGCCTATACAAATCATGAAAAGTAGCACTCACCTGCTGAACAAGCTGTTGAACAAGCTGGCAGTGCGTCACATTCGGAACTTGAAGGTGCATCTGCAACATGAGATCAACAATAAATTATGTGAAATTTCAAAGCAACATGTCACTGCCATTACCTTCTGGAAAATCCGATGGTGCTGAATCAGTGGCAGTGTGACCTAAAAAAGATAAAGACAAATTGAAGAAGACCATCATCTCTGTTACATCGCATTTTGGCAAACAAGCATCAACACTACTTGAAGCATTTACAATACGCACAGGTGCATTACAATTTTTCAGTAATAAGAATGCATGCCAAAACCCAAGCGACAATGCTTTCAATGCTTGCAATGTGCTGAACACCATACTGCGGAGCAAAATGTTGTGGATCTGCAGCACACCCCTACAGACATGATTGTAAAATATATAAACCAATGGATACAAGTTACAAGCCGTTACAATGCTTCGACTACATGCAGCATGTGTGTTAGCTACGTTACCTTGTGAAGAACCTAACCCTGCTTGAGTGGCATCACTGTTGGCTCCATAGCCTGCAAATTATAAAACATCAATGAAGGCATAAAGCACGTTTGTAATTACGGTAAGTAATAAATGCAGTAAGAACTCACCATCAACAGCAGCTGGTGTCAGAAGCACATTCGTAGCTGATGGGCAGTGTGTCTCTTTGGCTTCTGCATAATCCAAACATGTATTAATGATAACGAAGAGGGAAAAGGCGTGAGATGTGCTTAACCGTCAACTCACCATCAACAAGAGCAGCTGCTGTTAGTAGTAGATTAAGGCCACAAGATGAGCGGGCTGAATCATTGCATTCTGGAGAATGAAAAAAAATGCATTAATTATACCAAAGAAAAGCCATTAGCTATACACAAACAGTGCACAACACCTATATGCAAGACGACATGTTTCAGGTTAGTGAAAGGCTGAGAAGTAATTATGGGTGATTCAGAAAACAATGAAGACGGACTAAACATTCTCCAGTTTTCTAACGCGATTGGCTTACCTGACGTTTGCAAATGCTCTTGACTGAAGATCGTAGGCGCCGCGTCTCTCTTCAACTTTTTAGTACCAAACTTGCGCAGCAGTATCGGCTCGAATTGGTCCGCAGTGAAGTGGTCCTAGGTAAGGAAATATTCGCGGCTACTGTTACACAATGAAACAGCACGCTCTAAAAGAAACTAAAATAACCTTTAGTGTCAACACATACACGACTACGCACTGTTTGCCACATTTTCTTCCCACCAGACTAGCACACGGTGCGTACAGTATGTACAAATACGCACCATTTAGCTTTGCGTGTCCTTATTTCAACCACAAAGCTTCTGAATACTGAGCGCGCTGGAGCACATGCTTAAACGAAATGATGCGACATTCAGGTCGCTGCCCACGCCTTTATACATAAAGTCCTTACACCATACACACATACACGCGGGAGTCATTTAACTATACGTCGGCCAATAAACAAAGTTTAGTTTAGCACTTGAATGTATCCATTACATTTACTTTGTAACATAGTCGACGATTATTTCTGGATCAAACGAGATAATAATAATAATAATAATAATAATAATAATAATAATATACTGGCAGTTTAACGTTCCAAAACCACAATTTGATTATGAGGGACGCCCTTTTGGAGGGCTACGGAAATTTCGACCACCTGGTATTCAATAACGTGCATATAATGCTAAGTACACAGGCCCCAACATTTCCGCCTCAATCGAAAATGCAGCCGCCGCGGTCGGCATGGATCAAGCCAGAGACGCAACGTTTACACGGCACTAAACGCGGCACGCGTTTCAACTGGCATGCACGTTTACCATCGACGCGGTTACTCTCTTTGTGTGATGCTCGAGCTTGACAGTACCGCAACACTGTAAACACGAATACAAGCGAAACGATAGAGTTTAGCTCGCCGGTACTCACCTCACAAAGCCGCGACGATACAGGGTCCAAGTCAGTCCTTCCGATACGCTGGAGCCACACTTCTTGCCGAGCGGCATTGTCTTTTCCTCGCGGAAGCGAAAATAGCTTCTTTCCTCTGCTGTACCTGCTTTTGCAACCGCTGGCACAGCAGGTCGGCATCCCGAAACGTGCAGGATTACCGTGCACACACTCACGCGTGGTCGAACTCCGGCTACACAACAATACCAAGCGCGCACGCCTAGCCACAAACAACACCGCGAAAGTGGACAAACAAAATGGCGTTTGCGATACCTTCACAAAGGCTAGTGCGTCATGCTGCAGATTCTTAGCACCGCCGAGTTTATTACACGGACAGCAGTGGCGCTGCCATCGAGAGCGTCACCGCTGAGCGCGTCTGCATGCAAACGGTGGGCTATCGCGTTGAGTATTGCGTGCTTGCGGTGATGTCTTTTGCCACTGCATGCCACTTGCTTATATACACGTCACATCGTCGTATTTAACGTTACTTTTTATATTATTTTTCTTTCTCAATCACTCTTTCGGTGCATCGCCTAGAACCGCAGCGCCCAGATGCGCTTTAACAGAAACATGAGCACAAGCTCATATTTGCGGCCAGGAGCCATACAGCCCCTCAACTAGCGTCATTTACTATCTGCAATGCACGCGAGGGGAGAGGAGTCTGCACATTGACACGCATGGCGCTACCTTAGTTTATTTTTCAGGAACTTTACACACACGTGATTGCATGCAGCCAATCACGTGTGTCCGCGTGTCAGTTGTGTGTCAATAAACGGCCGCTGGCCGGCTCAGTCTTTGTTGGGCTTCCGCGGGCTCCGGTCAACTCACTTCTACTGCGTGTGTCAGGGGCGCGTGCCGGCGCACGTTGCGTCTCGCGTTCAGTCGTCGGGCCCTCGCCGACACAACAACATGGCGACGAGGATGTTCTTCGCCTCGGTTCCTACCACGGCAGAAAGAACCCGTGAGTTTCCTGTTACTCCCGCCTGTTTCTGTCCTGTCTGGCGTCCGCGAGGCCTAGCGCTCTTTGTGTGCAGACTCTGGCAAGCTCTCGCCTAGGCCTTCGCCGTTTCTCCGCTCCACACCTCTCTGAACTACCTCTCCTGTCAGCATGGCTCTCTTCGAGTACCTTCCTGTCTTCCTCCAGCTGCCGGGGCCGCCCCCGGTTCCGTGGACTGATTGGAAAAAATTGTTTCAGGCCCACCTCGAGGCGGCCGGCGGCAGCGACTGGAACGACGCGCGTCGGCGCTCGTCAGCCTGCTGGGAGGGGAAGGACAGCGGAGGTATTTCGCGGCAGCCGAACAGGAAGAAGCCCGACACGAGACGAGCAATGCGGCGTCTACTTTGATGCCCGGCTTAACTCCCTCGCAAGACCCCGTCCTCCTCTCGCAGATCAAAGATTTCGTGCGCGAAGAAGTCGCCCGCCAAGTCTCGCTCATCTCTGGCCTACCGGAGCGCAGTGCACCACTTAGCCCTACTCTACGGACTATTATACGAGATAAAGTGTCTGAGGTCCTTCCTCCGCAGCTGGTGCCACCAAGCAATACACCATTGACGTACGCCGAAGCAGCAGCACGACCACGACCACAGACGTTCCAAACACCGCCTCCACAGCCTGCTCCTGTTTATGCCGCCCAGCCGCCACGACCTCCACTTCGCCGAGTCCCTAATCCTTGGCGCACTGCCGACAACCGACCGATCTGCTTTTCGTGTGGTCTACCTGGGCACGTCGCACGTCTGTGCCGCCGCCGCCCACTCCACTCACGTGAAAACCTACGTCCATACGAGAACGATTACACCTACACTCAATACACACACGCACACACACACACACACACACACGAACTCCAAAAACTCAAGTGGCGGAAATACACTGCTGCTGCATATCGACCTGCTCATTCCTGAGAAGCTAACTAGTTTATTTATTACAGTTTCATGCTGCACTCACTAGGTTTTACCCATGTTATTTTTTTAACTAATTGGCTTTTTCAAATAAAAATAAAAATTTGGGAAGTTTTCCCTCTTTATTTATGTTAGATTGGCTTGAGCCCGTTATACCTCCTGGTGGTACGGGCTACCCCCTTTTTACTTTTAGTTATTTTTACATATAGGGGGCGGAAAAAGCACACCCAAGACCCCGAATTGTACGCTCCTCGTCCAAGCCACCGACCAGCTCCTGATCGCCGATCTCCTTCTCCACGTCGACGCTCGCCCTCCCCGATGCGCCGACGCCCCCCTACAGTCGACGGGGAAAACTAAATGACGCAGTTCCCGAGGCAAGAACTGCGTCCTTGTCGCAAAGCACAATCCCTCTTCGTTCGCCGCCGAATGTAATTAATGCCGTTCTTGAAGGTGTACCCGTACTTGCCCTTATTGATACTGGTGCTGCAATTTCTGTCATCGCCGAAAAAGTTTGCCGTTCAATTAAAAAAAAATTGCCCGCAGCTTCCCTCGGGGGAACACTGAGGAGGATGCGGACCATATAATCGGTTAACGGGGTGTTAAAGTGCGACTTACTTGGGTCGATGGCTAAATTGGTTAACGTGGTTGTGAAATGGGGTGTTAAATTGCGACTTACTTGGGTCGATGGCTAAATTGGTTAACGTGGTTGTAGGAGGGGGTGTTAAATGAGTGAAAACGTACACGCGTATGCGAAAGGGCGGCGCTGGTCGAAGGGACGTCGATCATTGTGTTTGTGGATTCGTTGGAATTCATTTCACCGCGACCTTGGACGTCGACGCGCCGTACAAACCAACCGACGAGCGGCAACTGAGCGAGCGAGCGCCGACCTTGAGTATATATACAGCACGACGGCGCATGCACTGTCAGCTGTTGAATGTTCTCGAAGCGCGACGCCACATGCGCGTCCACTGGAGAATCAGGAGAATTGTAGATGTCGAACGCGGTGTGTAGAGGAGGAAGGGTGCACAGATGGTGGAGGAGTGAAGCGCGCGCGGTGTGTAGAGGAGGAAGGGATGCACAGATGGTGGAAGAGTGGGCGACGGCGCGACGGCGCATGCGCGCGCGTCAGCTGTCGAATGTTTGAGAAGCGGTGCGGACGGCGCACTACAAGGCGCGAGTATAAGATTCTCCGCATCTAAAAGTGACAACGCCTTATTTGGGTTCATGTCTTCATACTGCCACTGCACAGCCTGTGCAGCCTGTGGCCGCGTGTACTGCCAGACTTGTAATTCAAGGAGTGCCCTACACAGTCCAGTTCGTAGTACTCCCGCACTGTTCTCATGACATCATTTTAGGTTGGGATTTTCTCTCCCATCACCAAGCGTTCATTGATTGCGCCCGTGCCAAAGTCGCCTTTTGTCCCCTTGGTGATGCGCTACCAGTGCACGATCGCCCTTCCGACGCGAAGTTGGTCATTAGTGACGACACCCAAATCCCTCCACGCGCTACTGTCTTCGCACCTGTGTCGTGTTCCACCGTCGTCGACGCTACCGCATTCTTCACGCCTTCCGCTGCTTTCGTTCATCGCCACCTATCACCGCTCCCAACCGCTCTCGTTACTCTTCAAGGTGGTGCTACCAACGTGCCTGTGAAGAATCCGTTCCCATTCACGATTACGCTACTTCGAGGCGAATGTATTGGTTCGATAGAATCATTCGAAACCATCGCTACACTTGACGTTCCTGATGAATCATCGGAAGTCAGCGCCCTCTCCTGTAGTTCCGTGAATGACCCTTCCACCACCGACATTTTCAACCGTGTCATCGACGAAGGCCTAAACCCACAACAGAGGTGTGAGCTTTTGAGCCTCCTTGACAAGTTTCGACCATCTTTTGACAGTCACAGCGCTACTTTAGGTCGCACATCTACCGTATGCCACCAGATCGACACAGGTAATCACCCACCACTACGGCAGCGACCATACCGTGTTTCGCCAACTGAACGCCGTATCATCGATGAACAAGTAGGTGACATGCTAAAGCGAGGCGTCGTTCAACTGTCAAACAGTCCTTGGGCGTCGCCGGTTGTTTTAGTTAAAAAGAAGGATGGCAAGATACGCCTTTGCGTAGATTATCGTCGCCTAAACAAAATAGCACGAAAGGATGTTTATCCTTTGCCTCGAATTGATGACGCCCTCGACTCTTTACAAGGCGCAGAGTTCTTTTCCTCCCTTGATCTACGCTCTGGGTACTGGCAAGTGCCTATCAATCCGGATGATAGGCCAAAAACTGCATTTGTTACACCAGACGGCTTATACGAATTTAACGTGATGCCATTCGGGCTATGCAATGCGCCGGCAACATTTGAGCGCCTGATGGACACTGTCCTACGAGGCCTCAAATGGAACACGTGTTTGTGCTACTTAGACGATGTAGTGGTATTCTCACCCGATTTTTCCACGCACCTTCGTCGCTTGGAACAGGTTCTACGCTGCCTCTCTGCAGCCGGCCTCCAACTCAACTTGAAGAAGTGTCACTTTGGAGCGCGCAAGCTGACCATTCTCGGACACGTCGTGTCGAAGAATGGCGTTCTTCCTGACCCCGCTAAGCTACGTGCTGTTCGCGAGTTCCCGAGGCCCGCGTCTCTCAAGCAGCTGCGTAGTTTCATTGGGCTTTGCTCATACTTCCGCCGCTTCGTCCGGGATTTCGCCTCCATCATGGCGCCTCTGACAGACCTACTTCAGGGAGACCGCAATCTATCTGCGTGGTCTCCAGCTTGCGACAGTGCCTTTGCGAAGCTCCGTGAACTGCTTACAACACCACCCATACTGCGTCATTTCGATTCAAGTGCTCCCACAGAAATCCACACAGATGCTAGCGGTGTCGGTCTTGGCGCTGTACTCGCACAACGAAAGCCTGGTTACCAAGAATACGTTGTTGCGTACGCGAGCCGCACTCTTACAAGAACAGAAGCAAATTATTTGGTAACTGAGAAAGAATGCCTAGCAATTATCTGGGCCATTACAAAATTTCGGCCTTATCTGTACGGCCGCCCTTTCGATGTTGTTACCGACCACCACGCGCTCTGCTGGTTATCCTCCCTCAAAGATCCCT